GGCAGTCTCATGAAGACGAGGTTTAGTACTATTATTATCTATGTCTTGTAGATGAAGAAATTGCATCTTCAATGTCACAAGTGTCATTAGTAGCAAGGCAGATAGCTAACACCAAGCTTGCACATAAACACTGTACCCCATCTCTTCCCATAGGATGTCAACAGGGTAGCACATGTTAGTATTCAATAAATTAGAAAGTAATTCTGGACCCAGAAATAATAACGTCTTTACATAGTTATCTATCAAAAACTGCAGGCAAGAAACACAACTTATTATTATATTTAAATTTAAGTAGCACGAACAAAGGAAAACTGAGTAGGTATGATGTTACATGTGCTGCGGTATACCTGTGAGCGCCACACTTGGGAGGTGAAGGTGGGAGAATCGGGAGTTGAAAGTCATTCTCAGCTAGAGGGAGTTCCAGGCCGGCCGGCAAGGAGACATTGAGGAAGAAGAAAAGGAAGGAGGAAAAGAATAGACAGAAAAAAGACACAATCAGCCCTGAAACTGACACAGGGCTGACACAGTATGGCTGGCTCCTCCTGGTCAACCCGGGAAGGGGCAAAGCAATGGAGATGGTGGGAGCTGGGGTTTCCCCGCCTGTACCATACCCTAACCATCACTGTATTTCAGAGAGCATGCTTTGCTCAAAATGGCCTCCAGAAGTGTTCTTTAATGGATTTTGTAGTTAGGAAAGTTAGTCAGGTAACGGAGTTCATTATAGCAGCTGCAATTAGTTTCAACAAAACAGCAATCCAAGTGTGTGTGTGAACATTCACCATGCTGTTTTTCATGACCCTAAAGGCCACCATGTGAAGCTGCTCTCTGAGCACTGTGATCCCTTGAAATGGTCTTGTCAAGGAGAGGGAAAAAACCAGAGACAATTTAATAATTTGAGTTGTTTATTCTCCCCTGCTCCAGTTTGGTTCAACTGCAAGTCCTTTAGTGACTAAATCCTCAGTGGGTAAGTATCCTGCCTTCATCTACATTCAGAGAGAGTACATTCAGAGAGATTTGAAAGCCATCCATCACTCCTCAAATGAGAGGTACCCTGACTCTAGTCTCAAGGAAGTCCCAGTTAATTTACAATTATGTAGCTGTCATGAGACCTCCCTACATCCCATGAATGAGTGGATTGGTCAAAAACATATTTGAAGTCCCTCTCAACCATAAACTTTCAGCTCCTAATTGAAACAGTTGTCCTTTCCCATTCCAGGGTATGCCACAGCAGTCAAGCAAATTCCATGACCATGCTAGGAACACTAGCATTTTAAAACCTCTCTCCTAAAGCTCATTGCAGGACATGAACTCGTACCATCTTAATCTGGCATTTCCTTGTGTTCCATGTGGCACTGAAATGTACTTTGTGTGTCTCAGGTAGCAGAGTGGTCAAGGGACAACAGATTTTCCCAGTCCTTCCTGTCCCATGAAGCAGAATTGGGAGGTGCTGCAAATCATAGCTGTTCATTCTGAACAACTACAATGTGTGATTTAAAACCAGAGGGCTCATTGATTTCTCCTCACAAATGCATCTCCTCTCTCTTTGGGTTTTCACTTACGTGGATACCCATCCTTTCTCTACAGATTTACCAAGGCCTCTCAGAGAGACCCCCCAGATAAGCCCTAAGCTCCTGTTAGCCAAGTCAATGTCTTCACTGCTCGTTTGCCAGAGGAGATAACGAGTGAACATTAACCGTTTGCAATTTCATACACTTATCCACCATGCTTACTTTTTAATACGCCCCCCAAAAAAACAACATTTTTTTCCCCTCTGGATTCCATCTTTCTCCATTCTTCACTCTTTCCTTCTCCTCTTTCTTTCCCCTGCCCTTTCTCTATTTCCTTTTTCTAAAATACAGACTCTCTGACCCTCCAAGTGCTCTCTTGATTCTGTTTGAGATTCTGACTGGCATGTATGACACAGTCACACTCTCTACTCCAAATTAACAGGTACCTTTCAGTAGTGGCTTGGTATGTATGCTTCAGTCCCTTTGACTATCTGGACAACTCCTACTTCATCTTACAAATTTCTTCTATATTTGTCTGGTCATGGTTTTATTTTTCCATACTCTTTATTGAATTATAATTTGATTTCCCAAGAACTCAATTGACTCATTATGGAAAAAATTAAAAGCAAAGATCCACATCAGGACAACCATGAAAAAAAAAAAAAGCAGGGTTTGGGGGGTGGAGGAGAGCTTGAACATTTTATGAAGCAATTAATATGAATTTTCATGACATCTTCAATTAGATTCAAAGATCCTAGGGACTGAGAAAAATGTAAATTCCTCACAGATAAGGAAAAAACCACACCCCAGAGACAAACAAGAGACCTATCCAGCATGAATTATAGAACTAAATGCAGTTCTGGTCACACACATGAAATCACACATCACCAGAGACAGAGGACAGGCCCAGGTAGTCCTCCAAACCTTGCAAGAAGCCACTGTGATAAAATCTAGGAACTTGAGGTATTCTGTCTGATCAAAATACTATCCCAGGAATTCTAAGGTAAATCCAATTGTTATCAGGGAAATTGGAGATAGCAAGAAAGAACAATACCTGAGAATCTTGGGCTTGAAGTTAGAAGGTGAAAAAAAAAATCACCTATAATGGAAATGGTTCAGAATCATCCATCTGCCTGCCTAAGCTACCCAGAGTTTGCACATGTGGCTTTATTCATTGGGAACACACCTAATGCATCCAACAAAGCCAGGTTTTTCCTTCAGTAACAGAAGAGGCCAGCTTCTTTTGTTTAGTATCAGATGAAGTAGCTAGCTGGAATTAAAAGAGTAGATTATTCCAGAACTGCAAATCTAAATCCTGGCCTGGTGCCTGGCTGCACACCCCTTCAAGAGGCAGCAGGGAAGGGAAGAGGTTAGGAGCCCAGAGGTGGTCTCTCAGGCCCTCCTCCAGAAGGGTTCTGCTTCACAGGACTGCTGGCTGTCCGCACTGTGAACTGTCACCTCTCTCACTCGCTAGGTTTTGCCCAGGAGCACAGGTGACTCTGTGGCTGGGATTGACCTCCCTGAATTAAAATGCCCAATTCCCATGTTTGCATATGAATACAATAATACAGGTTCCTCTGTCCTGGGGGTGTGGGGTAAAGTCTGGCCACAGGGCAGGGCCAGGCAAGGCAGGGCAGGTTCACTGAAGTCCTAAACCTAGAACTGGGTGTGGACAATGGAAGGGAGTAAGGCAAAGGTCACATTTTGTGGGAATGAATTATTTCAGAAATAACTTTCACCATTTTGGTAATTTTTTCTTAATTGTAGATTTGCTAGATAAATGACGACAAGTCCCATTTGGTTGATCTTTAATAAAGAAGGTTTATATTCTCAAATACTCAAGTTGTCACCTATCTCAGAACTTACACCCTAGAAGGAATTAAGGTAATATTCAAATATTTTGTTCCTATAATCGATCCCTTTCTTAAAGAAGGGGTCAATTCCAGTCAAATGGCTTAAAGTGAGATACCCAAACCAGGAGAGGCTTATGGAAGTGAATTGTGCCTGGAGGTGCTCCAAGCAGTAAGAAAACCAGATCACCACTTCTGCAAGACCTGCCACAAAGAGCCATGCAGGAACCCTGCACAGGTGACTGTGATCAGGAGCCCTAGCCTGGGAATGACAGGGTTAGGCTATGCCGGACACACTAGGGAAACTACTGTCCTCATTAGAAAGTCTGCCTGGCTTAAGGAAACAATTCTCTGCTAATATTACCCCGACATCAAGGTTAAAGTTCATGGAAGTATAAGATGGTCTTCGTGACAGGCAGAAAGAATTCTGTGGTTCAGAAAAATCCTTAACTCCACCTTGGTCAGCCCTGAAATGTGTGCCCTGCTTGACAGTACCTGGGGCTTGAGTCACCTTCCCACTCAGGTGACCCAGGTTTCCCTGGCCCCGAGTCCTCTCCAGGACTCCAGACATTTTCACAACTTAGCCACACAAAAGAATAACTGAGGCTCCGGCCTTTCCCAAGACAAGCAAGTGCACTTTAGTGTTGGCCCTTTCACAAGCCTGCACATCAGCATAGGTGTCTGTCGGTGGAACAATCTTTTTGAACTTTGCATTAAAGGCACCACTGGGTAGCAGTGATCTCAACACTCCATCCATTGTCTTCATCAGGAAATGCACAGACAGACCACACATGGTGGGCGGGGGGGGGGGGGTGCAGGGGCAGCAAACACATAGATGTTTATTAAAACACCCCAGTGCAAAACAAAACACTTGAATTGAAGGAAAAAAATATTTTTGAAAGTATGAAGCCAAGAAAGTAAAAGGGCTTAATTACGTTGCCTTCGTTAGTTGACTATGTAAATGGGCTGAGACTACTTAACTCAAATACTCAAGCCTTCATTTCATATGCAAGTACCCTCCAGCAAATAATACAGCAATATCCTCGTGATTGTGAAGGATGGCACCGGATTCTGCTATAAAGGAGGAGTCGGATTCCAGTAGTCGCTGTAGGTTTAACTGGCATGGCTTTGAGAGAGCTATTTTATAAAAGGGGACTCGCCCTACTGAATTAACATTGAAAAGTGTGCATGTTGGAAACAGCCTTCCCTCAGCGAAGTCCTCCACCACTGAGTGGTTCAGACTTTATCCAAATGACTCCATAGAAAAAATATGCCGTGACAATGATTTCACATTTTAAAAAAATTAAAAAGGGTGATGGTGATGATGACAACTGGGCAGGAACTCTGGGCGCTGCCGGCCTTTCCGAGTCAATCACCAGCCGAAGGTGATTAAGTTCCAGCCAGTTGTCTCAATGTTGGGAGATAGGAGCTCCAGACTGGGGAGGCCACCTGGTATCCTGTCCCAGTGGGTCTGATCAGGTTAAGATCGGCTTATAGTACGCCCCGGGGGGCTCAGCCAGGAGCCGAGCTGTCCCCTCGCCACCTTCCGCCCATGCAGACAACCAAGTTACACACGGGAACTCCGGGAGCACAATGACAACCAGGCACACAAAAGGAGCGAGGCAGCCGCTCCCATCCTTACCTTTCACTTGACTTTCATACTCGGCTATGATCTCTTTGTCCTTTTTGAATCGGCTCGGGGTGGACATTCTCCGGCTGTTCCGGGGCTCGCTTTCAATGGGCAAGTTCTGGCCGGGTGGCCACCGGCCAGTCTCCTTGGAGAGGCAGAGAGTTGTTCTCCCCTCTCGCCGAGGAGCCAGAGGCAGCACCCTCGGCAGGGACCGGAGGGACGGGATGAGCGAGAGGAGGGAGAGGAGCGATCAGAGAGAGCGGGGCTCCGGCACCATGCTCCGGGCTGAGCCGCCGTGGGCGCTGGCGAGCGAGCGAGCGAGCGAGCGGAGCCCCAGCCGGCGTGGCCAGCCGCGCAAACTCGGGCGAGCGTGTGGCGGGGGGCGTCTCCCGGCCGCTTCCTCTACGGCCGCGGGGCGGACGCGGGGATCGCGCCAGCGCGGAGCACCATTGTTGAGACCCGCGCGGGGGTCGCGCCCCGCCGGCCGCCGCCGCCGCCCGCCGCCCTTCCTGCCTGCGCCCCGAGCTGGGGATGCTGCCGCCTGTGCCAACGCCGCCCGACCGGCCGAAGGGATGGCAGTCCCCCACGCGTGTCCGCTCGGCGGGACTCGGAGGGCGGCGGCGGCGGCGACGATCGGACGCGCCCGGCTCAGCCCCGGTGGAGTTCGCGTCTCGGGAGCCGGCGCCGCCGGGATCCAATGCCGCCTCTGTCGCGGGGCGCCTGGACTCTGTCTCCACCGCCCACTGGCCGCTGCTGCCCCCTAGTGGCCGCGACGACACGCGCACCCGGAGCCGCGCCCCCGCCCGGCAGCCGCCCGGTCCTCGATTCTCGCTCGACCCTCTCGCAGCTCCCGGGAGACCCGCTGGTGCTGCTGGGCGCGTGGAATTAGACGAGGCGGGGTCCTGTCTCCCGAGGGGACGGCGTTTCTGGGTCGACTCCTTCTCTGCCCTCGCCCTGGTCCCCGCTCTGGGATCGTCCTGGAAGATGGATGCCCCTTGTGGCCAACCCGAGCGGGGCCCTGAGCACTTAGCGGCGGCCGCCCTAGGCGGCTCCCCCTTTGCCTCGCTCTGCCGGGGCTCAGCACTGTGGGCGACATCGGAAGATGTCTCTGAACTTGAGAATGGACCCCTTTGCCGCCTTCCAGCTGGGCTCTGGCCACGTTCTTTTCCAGTGGTTGAAGTCCAGAGTTGGGTGTCACCGTAACAGACTCAAAGATGTTGATCCCCAGAAGGAAAACTGAACACTGGATTGTGAAGGGCCTCCCAGTTAAAAATAGGAGGACGAAGCTCTACATTTGAGGCAGGGGGTAAAACTTGTTGACATCATCACATTCTCAGTCCTAGATGCAGTTAGATACTAGGATGGCAGGGAAAGCCTGGTATAATAGGAATCAGTCACACTTAGGATGTTGTTAGCTTTCATCCAGCTGGATCCTCTCAAATTAATTTCCAAAATGCTGTGGTCCTGATTTATCAAAGGACTTGACAAAGGCGCACCTGTTGCCAGAATATTTCCACTGCGAGATCTAAAGGCCATAGACACTTTTAACTCTGAGCATTCAATCCCGTAGACAGTGAACATTAGTTTAGTGCTGACCAAACACAAGCTAAGAGCAGGGGGAATCGGCATAGGCACCTGTCCTAAAGGATCTCACCACATATGGCATAAATAAATAATCACAGGCAATGTGATGATGCTGCAGGAAAATTACACTCATTCAAGTATAGGACCTGAAGAGAGGGAGGAAAGGAAAAATAGACTGTGTGCAGTGTGGGGAGTAAAATCATAGAAGAATAGACTTCAACAACCGATTGTTAGTTTGCAGTAAGGGAGAATTAACCAATGGCCTCAAACACACAATGGGATACTCTTGTGTTTGAGCCACACCCCCAGTTCCTGAGTTTAAAGTCTGAATACTAAGTAGTTGGCGATCTTAGTGAGAAGGAGATGCATATTTTACTCTGGGTAACTGCAAATAAGATTTCCAGAAGTCCTAACCCGTGTGTGTGTGTGTGTGTGTGTGTGTGTGTGTGTGTGTGTGTGTGTACCTCCCTAGACCTCAATCTCCTCATTTTAAAAATGCATCAGTGCCTAGATCCTTGAAACAGAATACTCTTTTCCTGAGATAATTCTCTAAAATTGTTCAACAGAAGGGCCTCTGGTTAAATTTCGTCTTAGGTACTGTTCTATTGCTGGGAAGAGACACTGTGGTCAAGGCAATTTATAAAAGAAAGCATTTACCTGAGGGCTTGCTTACAGTTTCCGGGGGTGAGTCCATGACCATCCCGATGGCAAACATGGCGGCAGGCAGGCACGACACTGCAGCAGCTGTCAGAGGGCTTACTTGTGGAGACAACAACCAAGAGACACACACGACACAGAGGACCTAGCGTTCAAACATAAGAGCCTACGGGACCATTCCATTCAAGCCACCACAGGCCTATAGTTCCATTTATCTAGAGGTTAAGAAAGGATACCTGCTTCCTCCCGGGAGGTTGAGACCACCCTGGATACCCTAGTAAACACCTGCCTACAACATCAAGTCAGTTTATAGGGCTTTTGCACACCAAGTGCATACCGTCATTATTAAAATCTGTTCTAATCACCTGTGGGCTATTAGTCTTGTTTTTGAGAGTCTTGCTATGTGACCCAGTGCTTATCAAACTCAAGGCAACCCTCCTGCCTCCACCACCACACCCAATTTTAATCAACTTTAACAGAAAACAGCTTTAAAATCAGAGAAAATATCTTACCCATCTTTGATTTCATCATGGTACCTGCATTACAAAGGTATCCTGCTGTTGTGATTAGATATCCTGACAAATGCCACACAGAGATAAAGGGCTCATTCTGATTTGCAGTTGGAGGGTCAGTCTTTCCTGGAGGAAGGCATGGGCGCCTGAGGAATTTTGCCCACTCTACACAGGCAGAAAAGGCTGAACACTTTGTTTACCTTTTTGTTCAGTCTTGGACCATACGCAGACTACGGAATAGAGCCATACAGGGCTAAGGTGGGTTTTCCCATTCTAGTTAACCTCACTAATTTATCACATGCATGCCCAGAGGCTTGTCTTCTAGAAACTTCTAGAACCTAGCAAGTTGATAACATAAACAATCACAGTGTCCAACCAAGCAGTCAATATACTACTATGAGTGTTCACAGCTTGGCATTCCCACATTTGATCATTACTCTCTAAGGTGAGCAATTTGCACACATACCCACAAGAATCCCACAAGGTGGGCACCGCTGCCCTCTTATGACAAATAAGAATCTGGAGACAAAAGGTTCAGTAACTAAGCTGTGACAAGAACATAACTCCAGTGCACATCTTCCTCCATCCAGACTGAGTCTTCTTTCCCACGGCCTACTCTGTGTCCTGTGGGCCTGTAATCCCTTGCCCATGGGAACCAGGAAGGCTTGCATTCATCAGGAAGAGCTGTTCCTATCGTGGTTTTATATCAATTGATCTTATTTCCCATCTGGCCATTCGGTGTCATTATCTTCTTCTTGCTTGAGAGCCGAATTTATTCCCAAGTTTGAATGTGGTGGATGGGTAGGATTTAGAACCTAGAAAGGCAGGTGACCCAGGTTGGATAGGCCACTTGAAGTTTCTCACATTAACTCTGTGACTTTGCTCCGCCTTGTGGTGATTATTTTCTTAGCCCTATGCGCCTCCTGACTGCCTTCTAATTTACATATTTTCATTCTTTAGGGGAAAACTATTGGAAATTTTCCAGACAGTGACATTCCTGCCCTTTCTGGATGACCCAAGTCCATGAGTAGAACTTCTTTTACCGCCTGACCATTTACTCTTGGAGCAAGTGTTTTTCACCCGGGGTTTGGCAGCCACACAACATCACTTACTGAAGTGTTAACATTGGACCCGGTGTGTGTGTGTGTATGTGAGTGTGTGTGTGTGTGTGTGTGTGTGAGTGTGTGTGTGTGTGTGGACTTTCGTGCACACATGTGTGTATATGTGCACCTATCTGCATGGAGGAAATACATTGACATCAGTTGTGTCCTCAGTCACTTACCTCATTTTCTGAAACACTGCCTCTCTCTGAACTTGGAGTTCACCCATTTGGCTAGACTGACTGATTGGCCAAAAAGCCCCAGGGAGTCTCCTGACTCTGCCTTCCCGGCAGTGAGATGACAGACACACACCTTCACACTGAGAGTGTTCCACATTTGCTGGAGATCCAAACTCAGGTCCTCACAGTGGGCCCTTGACCAAAGTTAATCCATCTTCCCTGACTCTGAGACAACTTTTTAGAACAGTGGATGGAAACACAGAGTTGCTGCCAAGTTTGAATGTGTTTTTTTTTTTTAGCTACAAAATTTTGACTTCTGAATTTCATATCTAATGTGGGCCGTTCTGAGACTCCCCTTCGATGAAAGGGAACATTCTTGTCCCTCCCCACAGGGGGATTGAAAATGAAGAAGGTGAAGCTCAGTTATATTAGTGGATCAGGTCCAAGCTCAGGACACAGAGTTCTGAACACACACACTGTAATGTCTAGACTTCCCAAGACCCCTGACTTGACAAACTGTTTGCCCTTAGGATTTCAGTAATTGCATTTGGGGATCAAGTCTGGGACATTTTATAAGGTGTGGCCTTAGTATTGATCACTAACACCAGTATCACTTCAGAGTCTGTTTGAGATTCAGATACACTACACGTAAGATGACACTTCCCAACACTAATGTGCACGAGGGTCACCTGGGAAATCTTGTCCTGATGCATTTCTGATGCCTTTGGAGGAAAGTCTGAGATGCTCTGTTTGATGTTGTGTCAGGAATGCTGGCATAAACGTCATTCTGTGGAGCAAAGAAACCACATGGCCCAAAGACTGAGTGGAAAGAAATTCTCCAGGTGATTCTATTCATGTGAATCTTTGCCCAAAACTGAAAGACATTACAAGTATATCCTTACAAAAGAATTTTATTACTCAGTGACAGTATATTTTGTTGTTGGGGTGTGAGACAGGGTGTTGCTGCTAGGTAGCACTGACTGGTCAGGTGTTTATGATGTGGCCCAGAGTGGCCTTGGATTTGCACCAATCCTCCTGCCTGAGCCTCCTAAGTGCTAGAATGACAGGTGTCAGTCACTATGTTCGGCTCCTTCAATTCAATTCTAATAAATATTTACTGGGTAGTTATGAGGCTAAACCACATGACGTTCCTAATGCTTGATTATATCTGAGTATAGGAATGGTAGTATCACGCAGTCCAGCCTAACGAACTATAAGCCCAGCAGCCCTCTGGCTG